GCCCAGGCCCAGAGTTCAATCCCCAAGACAGACAAAAAAATAAAATAATTCTTCCCCATTCCCTGAAAAAAGCAGCAAACAGCCTCTCCTCCTCCAAGCTGGGAATGTAGTTTAGTGGTAAAGTGCTTGCCTAGCATAAATGAAGCCCTGGGTTCGATTCCTAAGTACCACATAAACAAAAAGAGCCGGAAGTGGTGCTGTGGCTTAAAGTGGTAGAGGATGAGCCTTGAGTGAAAGAGTTCAGGGATGTGCCCAAGCCCTGAGTTCAAGCTCCATGACTAGCAAAAAAAAGAAGAGTCCCAAAACTTGGTCTAACTCCCAGTTTCCCCATATAATAGCTCTGTAATTATGGCCAAGTCACACATTTCTGAGCCTCAGTTTTCTTATCTAGACAACCTACAAAGTAGGTTACTGGATGGCTCACACTTGTAATCCTAGCTACTCAGGGAGCTGAGATCTGAAGATTGCAGTTCAAATCCAACTTAGGCAAGAAAGTCTGTATCTCCAGTGAACCAGAAAGAAGCCAGAAGTGGAGCTTTGGCTCAGTGGCAGAGTACCAGCTTTAAGTGAAAAAGCTAAAGGATAGTGCCTGAGTTCAAGCCCTAGTACCAGTACACACACACACACACACACACACACTCATACACACTTATACACACACACCCTACCTACAAAGGCTGAGAATCACAAGCAATAAAGCCCGCAAACTCTAAAGTGTAGTCCATAGAGTACTTGCCTAGCAAGTTTGAGACCCTGAGTTCAAACATCAGTACTGCCAAAATAAATAAATAAATAATAAAGTTCACATCGAAGTTCCTGTCCTTGTTGCTATGGAGATGCTGAAGGGCTGCCAATGTAGCTTAGAGGGAAGGCATTTGCCTAGCATGCACACAAGATGCTGAGCCCTTTGGGAGAGCAGTCTATCCATCCCGCAGGCAAGATTGCCACCTGTGGAAAAAAGAGACAAACAGATCCACTCCTAGATTTGCCTCTTACATACTGTAGGAAGCAGGAGGTGGTCCTGCATGCCTGTAATACCATAACTTGAGAGGCTGAAGCAGGAGAATCACCATTTCAAGGCTAGTCTGGGGGTACAGAGCAAAATCTTATCTCAAAAATTAAAAAAAAAAGCCGGGCGCTGGTGGCTCACGCCTGTAATCCTAGCTACTCAGGAGGCTGAGATCTGAGGATCTTGGTTCAAAGCCAGCCCGGGCAGGAAAGACCGTGAGACTCCTATCTCCAATAAACCACCAGAAAACCGGAAGTGGCGCTGTAGCTCAAGTGGTAGAGCGCTAGCCTTGAGCTGAAGAGCTGAGGGACAGCGCCCAGGCCCAGAGTTCAGGCCCCATGACCGGACCCAAAAAAATAAAATAAAAAAAAGCTGAAGAGCTGGGGCTGGGAAGTTGGCTTAGTGGTAGAGTGCTTGCCTTGCATGCATGAGGCCCTGGGTTCAATTGCTCAGTACCACATAAGCAGAAAAAAGCCTGAAGTGGCGCTGTGACTCAAGTGGTAGAGCACTAGCCTTGAGCTGAAAGGCTGAGGGACAGTGCCCAGGCCCAGAGTTCAAGCCTCACAACCAACAACAACAACAAAAAAAGTGGAAGAGATGTAGGCAGAGCTCCTGACGTAGCTCAGAAATAGCATACACATAGAAGGCCAGGAGCACCACAGAAAAGGAAGAAAGTGGGGGGGGGGAGGTAGAGAGGTTATTTTAATATATCAAGCCAGTGACAGTATTTAGAGACAAATTTGACAGTTAAGTTAAAATGCACATCAGCAAGCCCGGCATGGTGATGCATACCTGTAACACTAGCCCTCTGGAGGATGAGACAACAGGATCTTATGTTCAAAGACAGCCTGGATTATCTACTTGCTATAGATCTGCCACCCCTACCCTGCCTCAAGGAAAAAAAAGAAGTCAGATGTTTTAATTAGAGTAAGATTTTTTTTATTTTAGCAGTACTGAGGTAATGTTAAGATCTTTTTCTTTTTGGTCGGTTGTGGGGCTTGAACTATGGACTTGGCCACTTCCCTGTGCTCTTCAGCTCAAGGCGAGCGCTCTACCACTTGAGCCACAGCGCCACTTCCACTAGTTTTCTAGTGGTTTATTGGAGATAAGAGTCTCATGAACTTTCCTGCCTGGGCTGGCTTTGAACCGCGATCCTCAGATCTCAGCCTCCTGAGTAGGTAGGATTACAGGCATGAGCCACCAGCGCCTGGCATGTTAAGATCTTTACATGATAAAAATCAAAACCACAAACCTCTTCTACATATACTATTTTTAGGAGTTTGGCATTAACTTGGTTATATAATATTTTTCCCTATTGCTCAGTATTTTTCCTTATTATTCTTTTTTTTTAATTTTATTTTATTTTATTTGTGAACATACTGTATAGAGGGGTTACAATTACATGGGCGGGATAATGCGTACATTTCTTACCAAGCATTGCAGCCTCCTCCTTTGTTTCCTTATTATTCTTGCTATAAGTTTTGTTTCTGCCAGTCAGGGCCTGGACACTGTCCTGAGCTTCTTTTACAACATAAGGATCTAAACATTTCTGGTGTTTTAGTTTTATTTTTTAATTTACTTATTTATTTTTTGCCAGGCCTGGGCCTGCGCAGTGTCCTTGCGCTTCTTTTGCTCAAGGGTAGCACTCTACCACTTGAGCCATAGCACCACTTCCACTTTTTCCACTGTACGTGGTACTGTGGAATAGAACCCAGGGCTTCATGCATGCTAAGCAAGCGCTCTACCACTAAGCCACATTCCCAGCCCACATTTCTAGTGTTTTACATATATATAGTACATATCCATACTTCTTTTCTATTTTTCCCAAAGTTCTAAATTCAAAAACATTATCTGGGGACTGGAGATGTGACTCAAGTGGTAGAGTGCCTGCCTAGCACACATGAAGCACTGAGTTCAAATCCCTGAACAGAAAAAAAAAAATTCTCTGGCACTAAGTACCTTTTTTTGGCATGAAGGATTTTGAATTACATACTGTCGATTTGTATATTAACTAATTAAAACTAATATAATACAATTAATGTAGACCTTCACATGGAATGAATTCTGAGTCTCCACACACATTGTAGAAAACAAAGCATTAAGAACTTTTAATGAATGTCAAAACAGGACATGGTAGCATACACCTGTAATCCCAGCACTCAGGAGGCTGAAGCAAGAGACCTGCACCTGCAGGCCAGGCTGAGCTACATAGAAAGACTGTCTCAAAAGAAAAAAATATAAATATAAAAATAAATAAGTGTCAAAACACCATTATGTTTTTCAAGTGATGGTAACACATATCCCCCAATAGCTAAGTCAATTCCTCTTAGGTTGATGTCCACTGATTTAATCATAGAAAAAACACTGCTCAAAACCAAACTAGTAAATATGCTGAGGAAATGAATCATCAGTAATAAGTAATTTATTCAGTAAATGTTGACTTAAAAAAAAACCCTATGGGTTTAAAATTACCTCATTCTAGACAATTTCTGAAACACCCAACAAATTACAGTTGACTTTCTCTGCAAGAGCAGAGCCTCTCACATGGACAGGGTCAGCTCTTAAAGATCTTTGAACAGGAAGAGGAGTTACAAAGTTCTTTCCTTCCTTCCTCCTCTAGCTGAGGCTGTTCTCGATTTAGAATGTCAAACAAAGAAAATACATATTGGCTCCACTGCTAAGAACCGCCCTCTTTCTCTGCAACTTCCTCTTCCAATTTTCTTCCTCGGCATTGACATATGAGAACAATACCCAGGCCTAAACCATTTTGATTAACCCAAAATTCTGGGTTTTGGAAGATATTAAGGGCTGCAAATTTACTGTACCCAACTACTTTGTACCCCAAGTTCACAGTCTTCAGGGGATCACCAACAAAGTCAGACAACATGATGGAAGTAGAATTTCCTGGTCTAGTAAGCATGAGGCCCTGAGTTCAAATTCCAGTACCACATAAAGTCTGACAATAAAGAACAACAAAAAAAAAATACTCAGCTTAATCACAGGCAGGCTACTGAACTTTTACACCCAAGGAATCCAAAGAAACTTGAACTAACAAATGGTAAATCTCTCTATCCAATACCTCTTAGCCTTCTTAAGGAGGAGAAAAAAAAAAACTAGACTGGCATCACCCAGAATTAAAAGTCAAGTCTATACCCTAATAGCTGTGAACTTTTCCCACCAGGACACCTAAACAGGATACATACTGAATTCTCTCAAGTTATGGCACTTTAAAATGACTCTGAGAGAATTTTAAACCTAGAATGGTTCTTTCCAACTCACAGTATGAACAAAAGGGATGGGCTGATAATTAATCATTAATTAATAATCAGGCGATCAAGAACCAGCCAGTCCCCATGCCAGAAGTCAAGTCAAAGTCTCTGTCCCTCTGTCTCTCTCACTGTAGTAAAACTTCCTTATCTTTAGGTGGGCAGTAACTTACCCCTGCCCAGTAGCTCTTAGAGGAAACAACACGTTAGCCTGCACTTTGCTGTGTGGCTTTGAGTAAGTTACTAAACTTCTCTGGAACTTAGTTTCCTTAAGTGCAACTTCTCAAGGGGGGCGGGGAGGGTGTAAAAAACTAAACAAGAACGTATGCCTAACCAGGTTTGTGGCACATAGTATGCAACCCATCTTCTTCATCTTCCTCCTCACTTCTGGTCCCAAATCCCAATCTCAGCCCCCAGAGGCTCCAAGCATCTCTTCCTCACCTCCCTCAATCTAGGTGCAACTGCATAAAGCTTCCCCACCTCCACCCCATCAAGACCTGGGTAGCTAGCACCCGGCGATTTCGCCGAGGAGCCCCTTCAAGCCGACCCCCCCCCTTGTTCTGCAGCCCACCCCCGTGCACGCGGGCCTCCCTCCAACTCAGCAGGGTGAGGGCCCTTCAGGGTCCTCTCAGCCTGGGGAAGAACTTGTCCGGGAGTTCAGGAAACACTTGGGACCCCGATTCATGCACTTCTGTCCACCAACTCTTCGCGGAACACTGAGGCCCGAAGAGGGGAAGTGACTGGCCCACGACCCTACGGCCGCTGGGTGGTGGCAGGCCCGGGCTGCTCGCCGCTCTTCCGCAGCCTCACACACTCGCGGGACCCTCCAAGTTTCCAAGGGGGACGGGGGGCTCCGGGCCCCTTAGGGACGGCTGGCGGGCCGCTGCGGGTCCCCCGCGGGAGGCGCGGCGCCCACCCCCCCTTCGACCCCGCTCCGTCCGGAGGGGCGGCCCGGCCGCGGCCCGCGCCTCACTCGGGGGGACCCGCCCAAGGGGACTTGTTGCTCACCTGGCCTCGCGCAGTCGCCCTCAGCCTCAGGAAGGGCTACCCGGCCGGCTCCCGCCGACCGCCTCGCGGGCTACCTCACAGCCGGACCCCCCCCTCCACTTCTCAGCGCGCTACGCCCCCAGCCGCGCCTGCCGGGCCTGTGTCCGCCATTACGTGAATCCCCGCCCCAGGACGCAGCCACACCCCGCCAAGAGCTCTGATTGGCTCTCTGTCTCACCCGCCCTAGGCTGCTGGCCATTCCATTGGCCGCGATGGAATGCCAGTTAACTCTGTACGCAAAAGACGTACTCAAGGTACTGTCCCGGGAACTCCACCCGAGCGACTTCCGCAATGGGAGTAAACAGCCAGGAGCAAACCAAGTGCAAGGGGAGGTAGAGATAAAGGTAAATCTTCCCATAAACTCAGAGTGCGAAAATCCTACAGAAAAAAGTGTAAACCGTCGCCCAAAGTGTGAGGAAAGACGAATAATATTGATGAGAGTTCAAATGGCCTGTCTTTTGGTTAAAGGGAGGGGGGCCTAAGTTGGTGAACTTCGTGTGGACACCCCCCGAGTTGAATGAAGGTAGTTTGTCCCTCCGCGCCCAGTCCCAGGCTGGGCCGAAAGTCCGGTGGGAAGAGTGAGTCACGGCTCTCGCTCGGGGCCGGTCCCGCCCCTGGGAGATCGGTCACCGGCGGAGCTCTGCTCCCGGCACCGGTAGCTCTTTCAAGGAGGCCCCTCTCAGGTGAGCTGAGCCCTGGTTCAGCCGCCACCACCGTGCTCTGTCACCTCACACAACTCCCTGAACTTACCTGAGCCTCAGTTTCCCCATTTACCAAATAGATGCGGTAGGTTCAGGCTTCATCCGCCGGGTTCGGGCCTCGGCCTCGGCGTCCTGCTGCAGGCCTGCTGATCGTGAAAGCTGAGGGACAGCTTTACCTGCAGATTCACAATCGCATGCTCTAGAGCAACTCTGAAGCCAGAAGATATTTTCCTCATCTTGCAAAAGAAAAGGAAAAAAAAAAAAAGAGTCGCTGGGCGCCGGTGGCTCACGCCTGAAATCCTAGCTCCTCAGGAGGCTGAGATCTGAGGATCGAGGTTCAAAGCCAGTCCGGGCAGGAGAGTCCTTGAGACTCTCAGAAAACCGGAAGTGGCACTGTGACTCGAGTGGTAGAGCGCTCAGAGCCCCACGACCAACAAAAAACGGAGTCCCTGTGACATACCTTACATAGTTTTCCCAGGGTCACTCAGGAAATTAGGAACAACCTTGGGGCTCAAACCTGTATCATTGCTAGACACCAGTAGCTCATATCTGTAATCCTAGCTACTCAGAAAGCTGAGATGTAAGGACAGTAGTTCAAGGTCAGCCAGGGCAGAAAAGTCGATGAGTCTATCTCCGATGAGCAACCAAAAAAGCCAGAAAAGAAGCTGTGGCTCAAATGGTAGAGGGTTAGCCTTGAGCATAAAACCTCAAGGACAGTGCCCAGGACCTGAGTTCAAGCTTCAGGACTGGCACAAGGAAAAAAATAAATACTTGTATCATTTGCATCATTTAGCTTCTGTTTTTATGTTGCTCCCTCTCCCCCAGGCATAGCATCACCTGAGAAAAATCTTCCCTGG